TATGTTATTCTATCATTAGGAAGCCAGGTAAGATGGATATCTCTTTTGCGATTCATTTTGGTGTGAGCTTAAGATATGGCTACATATTTTGGTACTACATGTACTGTTTCAATTAGCTTTGACATCTTTCTATTTTGTTTGCAGTCAGTGAAGACACGTGTCATAAAAAACAATTTAAACCCGGTTTGGAATGAGCAATTAATGCTGTCAATTCCAGAGAACATCCCCCCTCTAAAAGTGGTGAGGTTTTTTTTTTGGAAAAATTGAAAATAATAATCCCAACTATTGCCGGTCCGCTATCAATAATCCCAACTATTGATTATTTTTGTATAATCCCAACTATATGGACCGTCCGCCAATAATGGTCCATGACCAGATATTACCTCCTATAACAAGTGATTTTTAAATAGAAATTAAGCATAAAAATTAAAAGTTGGAATTACTTATAGTGATTACTTGCTATATCTCTTCTCATCCACTTTAGAAACTACAAGAATTTATTTATAGGGACCATTATTGGCAAAAGGAAAATGGAAACTAATAATCCAACCTTTTAGCGGTCTTCTTTCAATAATCCCACCTTTTGATTATTCATGAATAATCCAACCTTTGCACCTCATCTTCATTCATTGGTCCCTGGTCGGTTAATGAGCTACTATTCCAAGTTATTTTCTTATCTTTCCAAAATATTATCTTTGTGAAAGATGAGATTTATGGTATAATGATTTGCAAAGATAAGAAAATAGCTTGGAATAGCAGGCCATCAACCAGTCAGGGACCAGTGAATGAAGATGGGGTGCAAAGGTTGGATTATTCATGAATAATCAAAAGGTGGGATTATTGAAAGAAGACCGCTAAAAGGTTGGATTATTAGTTTCCATTTTTCCTATTGGCGAAAGGTCCCTAAAGTTGGGATTATTCTGAAATAAACAATAGTTGGGATTATTATGAGCGGACCGCCGATAATTGGGATTATTACTATCAATTTTTCCTTTTTTTTAACTCCAATAGCTGGCTGACTTGTTGAATTTCTTATGTTAAAAGATACAGATGATTTTTTATTTGCGGTGGCATCTGAGTTTAAGTTCACCAACAATGGTTTTGCTTTGCAGCATGTGTTTGACAAGGATACATTTACAACGGATGATTTTATGGGGGAAGCAGAAATTGACATTCAACCTCTTGTTTCAGCCGCCAGAGCTTGCGAAAGTTCCTCCAAGAATGAGACGATGCAGCTGGGGACGTGGAAAGCAGGTCAAGAGAACACACTGGTTGCAGATGGTGTTATAAGCCTTGTGGAAGGGACTGTGAAGCAGGAAATAGCCTTAAAGCTGCAGAATGTCGAGCGGGGAGTTTTAGAAGTTGAGCTTGAATGTGTTTCTCTCTCGCAGTAGCTTCTTTTTTCATTTTCTGGTTGTTTACTACGGAGTACTATACTAGGTGGTTTTCTCTCCCATGTTTACAACCTTTTCCATTTGTGTCTGCTTTATTTTCTGTAGGGGAAATGAGGGTGCGAATCGAGGCAAGACGCCTTTCATAGTTTCATGTAGAAACAGTATAGACTATAGAGTAAAGAGTGTCTCTTTGATGACGAGGACATTCATTTTCACTTTTGTTGAACGTTACTACGCAAACATTAATTAATGTATATAAAATTTATTCCTACACTAAAAAATATTCCTACATATATTTGATGACTATGATTTCCTCATTAATGAATACTTATTATTGTGCTACTACTATGTAGCACCGATACGGGTACGCGGAAACGCGGAAACGAGTACGGGAATACGACAAAACCATAAAAAGAAGGATATGGATACAGGGCCATATTTATAAATATTAAAAGTTATGGAGTGTATTTAGAAATATTAAAAGTTATAGGGGTGTATTTATAAATATTAAAAATACAATTTTTTTTTGAAAAACACACATATATTATCATGTGACATCTACCTTCATGACATTGAAGCATTTTACATTTTCAAGATGCTCGGAAATAAATTTATATTTTATCTCATATACACATATTAGTGCATCTCGAAATATAAATATAGTCAATAAGTCATTAATTCAAAATAAGAAATAAGTCAAAAAACCTATAGTTTTGAAATTAAAAGTGCAAGTACTCAAAGTTCTAGAATAAAGAAGATAGAAAACAATATTCCAAAAGTTCTAATACATATTTCTGTTGGAGCTATTAATTTTTAGGGATAATTAGAATTAGGGATAGAAGGATGTGTGAATTAAGAATATGCCCATTAGTTGTGTACTACATAAAAGCAAGGTATAAATTGTTTTAACTTTTCATTTTTTATGAATTTTATAATGTAAATTTTGAGTGTTTTTTTTTAAGATTGTTTTTTTAAAAAAGTTGATATGTGTATCCGTCCGGATACGAGTATCCGAAATTGTAAAATAATTACCCAAAAAATGGAAACTTTTAAAAATTGTCAAAATTAACGATAAATATTAAGGTTATTTTAGTAAGTATGCTTTCTTAAAAAGATTACCTTTCGCCTAAACCTCTCTCCCTTTACCTTACGCCCTAACTCTCTCTTTCTTAGTATTGAACTTTTTTCTTCATCAAATATTCATACTAATGGTTAGATGCTACACTTGTGTGTAGATTGAAACGGGGTTCACAAAATATGTGTCTTGACATAGCAAGCTTTTATTCTTTTAGACAAGGTAAGGTAGGGATTTGCCTTTTTTTTGCTGAGATTCTCTTATCCTTTTCCCTTGTGGATTTGATGAATGGGATCAGAATACTTGGTTTGCTTTACATAACGGCTTGTGTGTATTGTACTGTTGAATTTTGGTAGTTATCGATGGCAGGTCAAAAAAAAAAAGAAAGTATTGGAAGCATATTCATAAAGCATATGAAATAAAAAAAATTAATAAACTATGAGCCATATTTTTAACGCTAAAGTTGGTTGAATGTACTAAAGTAGATAGAATTTTGAATGAAGGAGTTTTGTGGCTTAATTCCGATGAATTACGAAAAACTTATATTTAAAATATATTTTGTAAAAAAAAAAAATTATATGAAAAATAGCTAAATACTCCCTAGTTTTCTTTAGCAAAGACAACTAATTCATTCATCAAATTCTAATTTTACTTATTTTGAAAACATTTATTTTATTAATTGTTTGGAAAAGATTTATTTATGTCCTAATTGTGTTGAGTATCTACTTAACTAATTGAACTACCCAATTTCTAATAAACACTCGTCCTATATATACACACGAAACCCCATATATAACACCTAAAATCAAAGTTAAATTCAATTTTGAAATAAATTATATCCTATTGGCCCAAAGTTGCACAATGAACCTAAAAAATAGCTATTATACATCATTTTTTTTACATTTTTTAAATTTAAAAAAATAACTTATCGCTCCTTAATCTTCCATTCTTGTTAATTTGGGGGTTTCAATTTTTTCAAATGTACTGTCATTCTATATATGCCTCCTATAGGTCATGTTTGATAAATGGATGATCAGCCATTTTTGAGTTTTTTTTATCACTTTTAATTGGATTGACCAACAGAATTGTTAAAATTTATATGTTGGTCCAAAATAGGACGCTCGTAGACTTTTAGAAAAGCTACGTTAGACAATCAAGCAGGAAATCAAGAAAGTAATTAAGAACGAAAATGGAAAGTGTTAAGGGAATTTAGTTGCCAGAAAGTAGCGTATGAAATTCTCCCCCTTAGTTTGAATTACAACGTGCCTTTTATAGGCGTATACAATTCGTAACCGCTATCGATAATAATGACTAAATAATTACAACATTAATACGGAATTAAATACATAATTAAACAACGCATTAATTGCTTGACCGTTACTTTTCCTGGCTGGCAGGTCGGCCAGACTGGCAGGCTCCCCGTTGGGGTGGTAGGCAGGCTCCAGGTTGTGGATCTGGATCCACGGGTCCAAATTCGGGGCTTGGGCCGATTAGGCTCTGGGCCTAGTCTCATGACTCCATCACGAGTCCCCCACTCCCTTAGTCGAGTAGTAGACTCAGCTAAGAGGGAGTAGTCCAAATCAGCTGCCCTTCTCCGAGACTGGAAGATCTCTGCCCGTGTCCATGTTGGGGAGTTACCTCATTAAAAACCTTCATCAGGAAAAAACCCAATGGGAAAAAATCCTAATGAAGGGAAAAAGAGTACACCTAATGCCCCCAAGATGAAGCAAAGGGTGAAATCTTCAGCCTTTATTGTAATGGTCACCATCAGCGAAGAGGATGGCTAGAACTGTTCTTCTCATCGAGCTCGGACTCAACAGACATCAGGCTCGTCTTCGTTCAGTCGTACCTACACATAAAAGCAAAAAATGTAGAATAGAGCATCTGACCCGGTGCTGAACCACGGCTCAGTGAGTAAGTGAGTCAGACTCACTACCCGAAAAGAGTGACATCAAGTTCCCAAGTTAGGCCTCAACCCAGTCTTCGAAAGAAAGATTGAATCGGCGAGTAAGTGACTCGGAGTCACCATTTGAATGGATAATTCAACTCCATAGAACTAAAGTATATCAACCTTTTCGGGAAATGTGAATGTCAATTAAGTGAAAAAATTGCTCGGAAGAGCGTGACTCTAGGCCCCTAACAAGAGTTTAACTCGGCACCCGAGGTTAGTAGTTCGAACCCGCAAGTGAAGACTTTTGAACGGGCGACGTGAGGTCGGAGTGTGATGCACTGGGAAGGGGTAAGAGCACGCAAGAACTCATATGAAATCAAGAGTGTGCGGTATTAACATTTATATTGGAGCTTTATTAATCGCCACACCCATATGACATGATCCGGTGGCGCGAGTGTGTGTGCTCGACCATTGTACGAGTGTGTGTGCTCGTCAGGAGTACATGAGTGATCAGATTTCATAAATCCGTTTTTCAATGTTAAAATTACACACATTTGAAAAGAGTAAAAGCAATTATACCACTTAATTTATCTTTTCAAGTGTTTCAGCTAATGATTTATTTAGTCAAATATTTCCACAGAGGAAGCCGATGACCAGAGATGGGAAGGTACTCCCACGGAAAGTAAGCAGAAGTAAAGCCATAGCCATGGGACTCATTCCAGAAGACGAGCACGTGAAAAAATATCCCAAAGTGGGGAAGATAGCCGAAGCCGATGTTGTCAAGTTCAAGGTGGACTACCTTAGTCGAGGAATTGTAAAGGCTCTTACACTCTCCTCCGATGACCTCACCGGTAAGACCACCGATTTTACCGAATTTGTCTCTTTTAAACAATGGGGAACTTTATACGATTCCAAAAATGACTTCACCGTTTATCCTGATCTGGTCGCTGAATTCCTTGCTAATTTAATTATTAAAGAGGATGTAATGTCTTCTAGAGTTCAAGAGAAAAAAATCATGTTGGATACTGAAGATGTGGGACGGATTCTTAGCGTCCCCAGTGTTGGTGAATGTGCGTACAAGAAAAACGATTGGCCCTTAACTACTGTCTCTAAATCTGGTGCCCTTCGGTATTTTGACCCTAACATTACTGGTTCCTCTCTTCACGTTGCCAGTTTAGCCCCTGTTCACAAGCTGTTGTTTTACTTTGTCCACCAGAACCTCGTCCCAAGGCTTGAAGGCCGTTCCTCACCCTCTCAAGCTGAACTAGCTTACATGTATCTCTTAGCAACTAAGACTCCAATTACCTCCCTGGTTTGATGTTCGCCCACCTCAATTTCATCATTGGCACTAACTCTAGAAAGAATGGAATTCCATACGCCCCCTTCCTTATGAAAATCTTCCAATCTCAGAAAATCAATCCTGATGGTCTCCCCTCTGAAGATGCCATCAAGGTTGTAGATAACAGGTGTCTCAACAACCTGGGCATTATGATCAAGAATTCCAAGCTGCTGCCCAAAGAATCTACTCCTTCATCTTCTGATCAGAAACCAAAGTCTGGACCTACCCCTGTTCCCTCAAGTGACCCTATGATAGTTGTTCCTCCCATCACCGACCACATTAATCTGCTAGAACGCTCTCTTCAGAGCCAATTCGATGCCCTTTAAGAGTCCATTGCTGCTCTGGCTAAAAAGGTGGACACTAGCTGATTCTCACAGTGCGATCTACAAAGATTTCCAATCGTTCAGGCAGGAGGTATTGCTAAAATTTGAGGAACCTGAGGCTATTCCCAGAACAATTGTTCCATCCTCTGATGATGAGGATTCTTAAACGAGTGGGGTCAGGGGTTAAAATTGCTTAAAACACTCTATTTTGCTACTGTTTGTTACTTTACTTGTGACACTGTTTTGGTTGGTTCCTGTTTCTTTGGTTGATGCCAAAAGGGGGAAGCAATTAGATGCCATCAAGGCATATTTTGCAAGAAGAATATATTTTGCAGGAATTCAAGGCACCTATGGTTTGTCATCAACAACAATGGGGAATTTGTTGATTATGTAGTTTTGTTGATGACCAACCATGCAGGAACAAGGGATGAAACTAATCCATATCTAACCATGCAGGTCTCCCTGGATTTGGGTTCATAGGACCCATAGATAGAACTATTATAGGGTCTAACACATGAGTGCTTTGAGTTTATGCATGCATGAGTTACGTGGCATTATTTGAATTTAGATTTCATAAAATATCTTTCATAAGAGAAATTGTTAAAACTGAAATTTATGATAAATGGAACTAAGGAACAACTTGACAATAAAGAAGAAAACTTATTACAGATAGAGGTACAAGTGTGAGTACTCTTAGTATTTCCTCATACGTAAAATGGAATGCATGCACACACATATATAGCTTCAATGTAAACAAACTGGGACCCTACATATATAAGTGGGACTTGGATGATAATTAAATATAGCAAATAAATAAACAACTCTCAATACTCCTCCTCAAGTTGGAGTGTGGAGGTCACAAACACCCAACTTGTTGCGAAGAAACTGGAAACGATCAGTGCCAAGTGCTTTAGTAAAGATATCTGCTGTCTGATGTGTAGTGGAGATAAAACATGGGTTTACTTCCCCACTAGCAACGCGTTCCCGTACGAAATGACAGTCTATTTCAACATGTTTGGTGCGTTCATGAAAAACGGGATTAAGTGCAATATGACGTGCTGCTTGATTATCACAGAAGAGAGATGTAGGACTGGACTGATAAACCGTGAGATCACGTAGCAACCATCGTAACCACAAGATTTCACTAACTGTTACAGCCATGGCACGATATTCTGCTTCCGCGGAAGACCGTGAAACGACAGATTGCTTCTTTGTTCTCCAAGAAACCGGTGAACTCCCCAGAGTGATAAAATAACCAGTACTAGATCTGCGAGTGAAAGAACATCCTGCCCAGTCTGCATCACAATACGCCTTTAATGTAAAATCTCCATCGGCAGAGAGAAAAATGCCCTGTCCCGGCGTTTGTTTCAGATAGCGAAGAACACGTATAGCGGCATCAAGGTGAGTTTGATGCGGCTTATGGAGAAACTGGCTTAGTTGACTGACAGAGAAAACAATGTCTGGGCAAGTGACAGTGAGGTATAATAGACGTCCAATCAAACGACGATATGATGAAGCATCTACAAGTGGGCTATCATCATCTGGTCGAAGTTTCAAATTTTGTTCCATAGGAAACAAACTAGGACGACCAGCTAGGAGACCACATTCGCTTAGAATGTCTAGTGTATATTTTCTTTGACTTAGCACAAAACCCTTTGGAGAGCGAGCAACCTCAATACCAAGAAAGTATTTCAGCGTACCCAAATCTTTTATGCTAAAATTTTCATCCAGATATCTTTTAGTGTCATTGATGTGTGAGACATCATTTCCGGCTAGGATTACATCATCAACATATATGAGAGCAAATGTCTGGACAGAACCTCTTCTGAAAATGAATAAAGAATGGTCCGCATGAGATTGACGAAAACCAACTTTCTGTAGTGATTGGGTAAATTTGTGATACCAATTACGAGATGCTTGTCGTAAACCATAGAGTGACTTTTGTAATTTGCAAACACGAGTATCTCCATTTTTGGAAAAACCTTGAGGAACGCGCATGTAAACGTCCTCAGAAAGATCTCCGTGAAGGAAAGCATTGTTCACATCTAATTGGTGGACTTCCCAATGTTTCTTAGCTGCAACTGCTAATAAGCATCGGACTGTGACCAGTTTGGCAACCGGGGCAAAAGTTTCATGAAAATCAACTCCTTCAACCTGCGTGAAACCTTTTGCAACCAATCTAGCCTTGTAGCGTTCTACTTCCCCGTTTGGTTTATACTTGATTTTATAAACCCATTTGGAATCCACTATTTTTTTTCTTGGCGGTAGATCAACCAAAGTCCATGTACCATTTTCTTCTAAAGCTTGAATTTCCTTTTGCATAGCTTCCCGCCATAATGGATTTTGAACAGCTTGAGAAAACGTTTTCGGCTCATTATGTGAAGAGATAGCGACCAAAAAAGCTTTATGTTTGGCTGAAAACCTTTCATAATTGAGAAAATTAGAAATGGGATATGGTGTGGGGCCCGTCGAATTGGCGGTCCTGGAGTGTGTCAAAGAGGGTGGTAAGTCCGTATCAAAGGCAGCCAAATGTGAAGGGAGTCTCCTAATTCTGTCACTTCTTCTGACTTCATTTGTCGTAGGTACAAAATTAGTCGAGTCAAATTCATTATCCAAGGCCCCATTATTGTCCTGATCCTCGCTGACAGCTTGCGGAGAAGGGAGATGAGCGGTAGGTGAGTGAGGCCAAGAGTAGTTGTGGGGCCGTCCAGAAGGTGTTATGTGAAGAGGATTTGGCCCACCATCTACCTGATTGCTGCGTTCAAGAGTAGTTGGCCGAGAATCAACTTGTTCGGCGGCCACAAGATGACGAGTAGCTGGCCCATTATCCACATCCGTGCAGTCCTTCTCCTGCTGTTGGTCTTGACGTCTGCAGACGGGAGGGCATATAACTGGCGGACCAGGCCGCCAATCAGTCCCATGTGAGACTTTTGGCGAAGGAGCAGTAGGACGGTAGTTGGGCGGCTGCACTTGTTCAGAAAGTGTTTTCGCCGGTGGATGATTATTTGAGCGTGACCTGGTAGATGGGAGGTCAAATCCTTCCTGTAAATGTCCAGAACGTGGCTTTGGCTGAACGTGAGAAGTGCTGCAATTTTCAATTATTTTCTTGTAGACCTGGTCAACTATGAACCCAAAATTGTGCCCTTCTTGTTCTATTAATTTGAATGGAAATTCATTTTCAAAGAAAGTCACGTCCCTCGAGCTGTAAATGTCCTGCTTCCGTAAATCAAAAACTCTGTAGGCCTTTTGACCATAGGGATATCCAAGGAAAATACAGGGACTCCCCCTTTCACCAAATTTATCTTTACGTTTGTTGTCGTGTGCATACACCAAACATCCAAATACTCGTAAGTGTTCATAGCTAGGTATTTTTCCAAATAGCATTTCATAAGGGCTTTTATTTGAAATAATGGGCGAGGGTAGCCGATTTATTATGTAAACCGCAGTAAGAATACATTCTCCCCAAAAATCAATAGGTAACCCCGACTGAAAGCGAAGTGCCCTAGCGACTTCCAAAATGTGTCTATGTTTGCGCTCTACAACCCCATTTTGTTGGGGAGTATCTGTGCATGACGTCTCAAAAATAATTCCTCGACGTCCATAATATTCAAATAATGGTTTAGTCTGAAACTCCAATCCATTATCTGACCTTATTCGCTTAACTCGTTTTTCAAATTGAGTTTCCACCATATTGCAAAATTGTATCAAATGCTGACAAACTTCCGATTTATTTTTCATAAGGTAAACCCAAACACCTCTAGTGAAATCGTCTACGATGGATAAAAAATAACGTGCTCCGGAAGTAGAATCACACCTATAACCTCCCCATATATCACAATGTATCAATTCAAAACAACATGAAGTCTTACTTGTGCTTTTGGGAAAAGAAAGACGGGTCTGCTTAGCACGCAGACAGGGGTCACAAAAATTACTGTCACGATGAAAACCCTTGAGAAACCCGATGTGTTGTAGTTTTCCGTCACAAGCATGCCCCAACCGTTGGTGCCATAAATCAGGACCAAAAATTGCTGATGCTGTTACCTCTTCACCTTTTGGCAGTTCTAGGTAATATAGGCCATTATGTAGTCGGCCTTCCCCAATTATCCTTTTTGAGTATAATTCCTCCAAAGTACAGCCATTTGAAGAAAAAATAAGTGTGCAATTGAGATCGCTAGTGAGACGGCTGGCGGAGAGCAAGTTGCACTGAAACTGTGGGATATAAAGAACGCGCCGAAGACAGAATCCATTTGATAGATATAGACTACCAACAGCAGAAACTGGAACTAATTCACCATTAGGGATTCTGACAGACGGCTCGAAGGGGTGAGTTTGGATGTTGAAGAGATTATCTTCTTTACAAGTGATATGTTCACTAGCATCGGAATCAATTATCCAAGTGCGAGTGTTAAAGGATATTTCTGCCATGTCGATATGAACATGGGAGAAAGGAAAAGAAAGTATTATTTTGAATATCTAACGAGGACATTGATTCCAGGTTTCGGCTCTGATACCATGTTAAAACTGAAATTTATGATAAATGGAACTAAGGAACAACTTGACAATAAAGAAGAAAACTTATTACAGATAGAGGTACAAGTGTGAGTACTCTTAGTATTTCCTCATACGTAAAATGGAATGCATGCACACACATATATAGCTTCAATGTAAACAAACTGGGACCCTACATATATAAGTGGGACTTGGATGATAATTAAATATAGCAAATAAATAAACAACTCTCAATAGAAATATTTGCCATTTAATAAATAAGTGACTGTAGCATGATTAGCACCTTAAGTAAAGAATCATTATAAACGGCTTTGGTAAATAATATTGCTTTTATAGAAAGATCCATTAATGATCAAATCATTTTAAAAAGGAAACTTCTTTTACTTGGAATTTGCTTGCTTACGTTAAAGGAGTTATGACCGTTGCCTCCTTTGTATGGAAATACTTTCAAAGTGCTTGGAAAGTTGCCTTGCCATTAGTGGACCGTAGGCTTTAATATTAATGCAAAGTGCTTCCTTATTTAAATAAATATCTCTTGGGATGTTGACTTCTCTGAATGTCCGTTTGCATGTCTACTTATGAGGGCATCCCCATTGGTAGGATTATTAAGAGATTAAATAAGTGACATGGCAGATTTTTATAAAAGCATCATTGAGAGGCATAAATTATTTAATGAGATTATTTGCTACAATAATTCGGGATCAAAATATGAATCCAGAGTATTTTAAGATTATTTAAAATGTATATGTAATAGAAGTTAATGCAGGGCCAAAAAAATCGGATTATTTGAAGATGATGGTTGGGAGACATAAACGAATATTGAGATTATTTAAAAATTAATTATATAACAATATTTAAAAGGTAAGAATCATAGAAAAAATTGATTATTAGAGATCATGAATGAAGATGCTCTGATAAGTGTATAAAAATATCTTGTTGGGGAGGCTCTCTACCCGCAAGGTAGTGAAGCGAAACTCTTCCTAGAGAGGATAAAGTTGGGGAGGCTCAAGGGTAGATTAGGAGAATCACTCTTGTAATC